GTTCAGTCAAATTATTAACAAAGTTTGTGGATGCTACAATGTGTTCGCCGAAGGCCAAGGTAGTGAATATTAATTATAATTCAAATAAATGCATTTAGGTTGATTCAATTCAATCCATACAAAAAAACAATATTATTAAAAATAATAGCTATAATAATCATAAAATTACGGATAATCATAGTTATTTAGCTCTTAAATAATGAAACACGTTTTACCCATTTTCTGTATTTATTGATTTTATATATTTAATGCAAATTACAAAAAATAACATAAACAGACTTATGACATTCTATTAATGATGTGATAATTGATGTTTCATATATAACTATAAACCTGAATTAAGACAAAAGTTGTAATAATAATAACAATAATAATAATAATAATAATAATAATAATAATCATAATAATAATAATAATAATAATAATAATAATAATAACTATAAAAATAATAATAATAGTTATAATAATAATAATAATAATAATAATAATAATAATAATAATAATAATAATAATAATAATAATAATAATATTTATAATTATAATAATAATAATACCAATAAAAAGAATAATATTATTAAGATTATAAGTAAACAACTTTTTCGTAGCACAAACTAAATCTGCCGTCGTCATAGGGTATTCCATAGTCGACGTTTTTTGACCTCCACTAAAAAATTCAGCGTTTGATTTTATTCGCATTTTATTGTATTCTGCAGTCACATTTTGTGCGCTTAGCTTGTGAAATGCACATTGCAAAGATTTATTTTGTGCTGACAAACAGCGCGTCGCTTCTTGGTAATCGATGGAAATGAGCATTGCCATTCTATGCGCTTGACAGAGACGGCACTCACAAGAGGGAGACAGTTGGTTGGATGCGAGTGCTTCTATGGCACTTGTTTGCCTGGCTGATTATGGCAAGGAGCACATCTAGACGAACAGACACACGCACCTAGATTTTGCCGGGCTCAACTCAACTCGAGCAATAAATAAGCATATCAGTTGGGCGCGCCAGCAAATCAAGCGAATTCCTTGCGACTTGAGCTAATTTGTTATCATTTGCACGATATGAATAGTATAATAAATGCAGGGCGTGCAAAGCGAGCTACATATTCGAAATGGAAATATATGTACATATATGTATATTCCGACTCAATTTGTAGCTCATGTGAATATGCTGAGCAAAGGCCAAGTCCGCATCCATAGCATGTGTTTTATTAATGTCAACAATTTATGATTATTTATAAGCATTTCCTGCTGCATACTTTCAGGCTGCCCGTCAACAGATTATTTCCGTTGTGTGTAGAAAGCAAATAACCGTTTGCGTTTGTATTAGTTATATGCTGGAGTGGGCGAAGCTAGCTTATAAGTGAACAGCATCAGAACTGTACCAAAAGACACATTCGAGCTGAAGGTTAACAGGATTTCTGGAAAATTTGTTGACACAAAATGCTGATGGTCAGTTATGTCAAGAAATCGGTATCAGAAATGTCACTTTCACGTTTTCCGTTCGTATTGAGAAACGCCATTTTGGCACTCGTAAGCAGTCAATTATTTTTCCCCCCAGATGTGACATTTTATCCAAATACTTTGTTTTCTGTTCATCTTCTGATTGGCAATCTTTGACACTTTTCTCAGACTCCCTGTGTCTGCTGGTTGAAACAGCCACAGTATCAGCTATTGACAACTTTTCAATTAAATTCAATTCGCTCAGCCCCCTCGGAAAATGAAAACAATTTGGTTACAAAAACTTTTCACATAATTTATGGCATTTCTAAATACTTGAATAAACAAAGTTTCTATATAAACAATCAAATTCATTGGAAAATGTCTGAGCCAAAGATGTTATACGATTAGCCATAAAAAAAGAGATATAACAAATAAAACCCATAAAAATTAAATTTATGCAGCTTTTTTATTTTGACACATACCATACGCTAGAGCTGAAAAGAAAACGACAAAGAAACAAAACGCATGAAATTTTCCACGCTGTTAAAAAATATAAAATTGAAATTTAGTGAATATTAGCCATCCCCTTTAATATGACGTGGTCAGCTTTCCAAAAAGTCCATTCAATCCATTAAGGAATGTATTTCTCAATTTATATCGTTCAAGACATTTTAATTCGAGATTCGATTTTTTAGTAGTATCGTAATAGACTGAATGATATAGAACGATATTTTTCATATGATTGATAAAATTATAATCTATATATCTATCTAATCTGTATATACATATTAACAATTTGCTAATTAGGTCATGTTAATGTAAATATTCTTTGAACCATTAGTTTGGAGTGTGTGAGTTAATTGGCCTACATGTTATTATTAATGCGTCGATTAATCTTTTGTGTTAAGTAAGATAAACACTATAATTAAATATGCTTGTAACAGATATGGAGCAAATTTTATTTATATGTATTGTGTGACTGACTGACTGACTAACTGACTGATTGGTGATCAACGTACAGCCCAAACCGTTAGAGATAAGTAGATTAAATTTTCACTGTAGTTACCTTATGTGATGAAGGTGCACGTTAAGACGGGGTTTCGGGAAATGTCACCCGCATGTGTGGAAAAATCTCGAAAAAATTGTTTTGCCTACTATCCGATCGGCCTTAAACTCATTTTCAAAGATCTTTGAGAGAATTTATTTGATACATTGTTGAATGGCAAATGCAGATCAAATAAAGATTATAATTCAGCTTCGAGATTCTCACTGCAAAACATATATGGGCGGAAACAGTTGATTCCAACACTTGGTTTTTTAATCGATGCAGTTAAAACATATTTTCAAATAGAGGTGGAGATCTAGTTTTAAGAGAAAATGTAATATCTAAAATTTGTATATATATTTATGTGTATTTGGCTGGAGACTCGATCGTCTACTTTGTTAATGATAATCAAGATGTCATTCATGTATAATAGTTTTCATTGATGTAAAAGAAAAGTAATTTTAAACCTGAATCTGAAAATTGGCTTTGTTGCTTATGTGTGCTACGCTCCACGCTCCCCCACAGCCGCCCACACTCACACATGTGGCACGGTTTTCAACTGTTTAAAATTCTGCGTTAGTACATTCGGCTCAGATTCCTTTTTTCTTGGTTTTTTTTTTCTCAAAAAACTTTAGCCTTGCAATATATTTTCTTCAAAGCTCCACTCGACGTGTATTTGTGTGTGTATGTGTAAAGGAGGCAAGAGGCAGGAACGCTTAATAGCACAGGCACAGGCACACATACGCATGGGCCTATTAGCACACACATAACACATACAAAGACATACATTGAGAGGGACGCAGCAATGACCACGCATAAAAAAAGTGAAAAGAGAGCTAGATGGCAAAGAGGAAACGAAAAGAAATAAAACTGAAATGGCAAACAAACCAAAAACAGCAAAAAAAATACAAAACGACAACAAAAATGAAACAACAAAACGGAACAGTAAAATGTCGACGCATTGGGAAGAAGAAGCAAATGGCTGCAAAAACAATGCAAATAGCAATGGCGACGGCGACGACGACGTTGCGTCTGTGACTAACAGCCAACAAGGAGGGGCAGCGGGCAGGGGGGGTGGGGGCTGTTGGTTGTGTGTTGGCAGACAAATTCAAAGCTGCTTAGTGCTTACTTCATAGTTTACGCTTACGCGCTGCAAACGACTCGAGGCCGCCAAATGCTTTGGCTATTGATTTTTAGTGTTTCTTTCGCTCGCTCTCTCTCTCTGTCTCACTCCAACTTGCGTGTGGCCTAGCCAGGTGGCCATTTGGCTGAGAACAGCAGCAGAAGTCGTTGCCAGTGCCTGGCTTACTGTCTGTTCTGATCGACAAAAACAACTACAAACTGCAACAACTACAAATCGGATTTGCGTGAGTAATTGGCAAGACAAGCGTTTGGGCCAAGAGGAGCGTATTGGACACACGCAGCAGGTAGGATGACTGTGCCAAGTAGCTGGAAGTGTCTGTGTTTTGTTGTGAAGCCTCAGTAGCGTTTGCAAAGTTGAAAGAAGTGACAACGAGGAAAAAACATAAGACAGCACACAAGTCAGCAGTGACCGACTAGGGGATACCCTGTATATAGTCACGCGCTGCCATTACACACATTCGTTCTATACACGCCGAACGCTGTGCACTTTGATCTCAATTCGTAGAATGCCTTATCGTATTTGCGAGAATGAGGCGAGATATTTAAAAATGTGCAGTATGCTTTATATATTTTTACAAGAACTCACATACCAAGTTTGGTGTATAAAGCGAAGAGAGATAGATAAACAGATATCGAGAAAATTATCAACTTGGCTAGAAATGGTATAAGAAAATGTATATTTTTAGAAGGGATTGCCAACTCATGGTCCTGATCAAGAATATATGCATATACATGTTACATACGTATGCTGTTACATATATACGTATGCAAAAAAAAACAATATTCATTATATTATATTATTATTCATTATCGTACCATTACCAATATGTTTATTGTCAATGATTTTTGCAGTCGAGTGCAACGGACTCCGTTATAGCCGTTCAGCTTATTGTAGGCTGACCGCTAAATGTATGCTATATAAAATTTAATTGGATCAGTTTCTTAAAGATCTCATCAGTAGTCTTTATGTGATCATTACAGCTGTAAGACTGTAGACGATATAGATTCGCGATTTGTCACGTCCCGTTTGGCGTAGCCATTTAATATCTACGATAGAAATCACATTCTTACGGACAGACGGACGGACAACAACACAATCATTGCTCCAAGCCAATATACTCTTTTCATTTTGTGAGAGAGTATAAAAGCAGCAACTATAACAGTTCGATCAAAAGCAGAGAAAACGCTGACTAAAAGCGCAAATGTGTTATTTGGGCCAAAACAAACACACGCATACACACACGCACACACGCACGCACGCACACACTTGTATACACAGAGGAGGGCAGCTTAGTTGTATTAACTAAGTGACAGTCGGAGACGATGACAGCCAGTTTGGATATACAGTTGGGAGTAATTTGGAACTTACCTCATCGATAAACTCAAAATCACCGCCAGTTTCGCCAACGTATTTCTTCTTCTTGGCATCGGCGCTGCCAAGCAGACAGGATGACATCAACACCAGCACCAGACAAACGCTGGCAATGAGCGGCAAACGCAAACGCTTCATGGCAGCGGCAGCGGCAACGGCAACGGGAGCGGCGCCTTGATAAGAGGACTTGCTGGAGAGGAGCGTCGTCTAACGGAAGCGGCTCAAATGCGACGCGAATAGTTCACGACTTCCGCTGGCAATGTTAATTGCGAGTCGAATCAAATCCGAGTATTCAATAGCTCACACACGCGCACACCTACAATCAACCACACACACACACAAACACAGACGAACAGACGCACACACGCAAGTGAGTGTAAGTTTTGTAGTTGAGCTGTGCAATCGCTGGCGTTTCAGAACGATGCAGTGCAGCAGGATGACGGAACGTAATAGAACTGTAGGCGACGCGACCAAAACGTAAACTGAGCGCACATCGATTTGCATTGCTCGGCCCCAAACGGCATTGGAATTTTGCGACAGCCGAGGAGAATGCGGAAAAAGAGCGCCACAAGGATACGTAAGAGTGCGCACATGGAACTGTCATATGACATAGGGTTGTCAAGTTGGGCTCCGACATGAAATGCTTTTCCTCAATTGTGGTCCTCACTGTAAAAGTAAAATATATTCGAATTGTTGTTGAGCTTTCATGTATGACAATCGTAAGCTTAAAAACTCTACGGCTCTTAGTTTGGCGTATTTATTTGTAATTCTTTTCTACAATTTATTTCAGTGTACGCCACTGCGTATGCGCAATAATCAACCCCTGCCAATCGTCGCCTGCTCTCTCGCGCGACATTCGCATTGCTGGGACTGGCGCTTCCAGACGACAACCAGCCGCAGCAGCTGCCGTAGCCGCAGCCGCAGCACCACCACCAGCAACATTAAAATGCTGAGAGCAGTCCGTGACATACCAACATCCAGAATCGATTTTATTTTTCGACTCGCTAGCGCTCTTGACGCTCCAACAATGTCTCTTAACTGCGCCGCGGCAATTTTGGCCAATGGGTCGTGAACCTGCCCCCAGTGCCTAAATCGCGTTTACATTCGAAATGGACCACAGTTGTTGCTGTTGTTGTTGTTGTTGCTGCCGCTGCTGCTGCTGCTGCTGCTAGTGTCGTTGGCTGTTGATTTTTCTGTATTGGCGCTTGGCACACTTGGCCCGAATCGATGACGCCGTCACCACGATTATTGCCAACGCTTCTGACCGGGATAGCCCGTAACCATTTAACGCGTCAGCGCCTCGCAGGCTGGCCAAAGGCAGCCACCAAGTCGAAGCATTTGGCCAAGACTAAGTCCCAGCCACGTTGGCCCCCAGGCTCTGTCAGTTTAAAATTAATAGTCCCGAACACACAGTCACATAGGCCGCGTTCTGGGCCGCCTATGCGCGTGTGTGTGTGTGTGTGTGCCTGGGTGTTAAGCGGCTGCTTCCATAGCAGCTTCTTTACTTGTAATGGCATCATTGACTTCTGCTCTGGCACGGGTCACTGCGCCTGTGCTTGTGCATAGATAATTATTGAGACTTAAGCTATGTTTTTGTTCCAAATCTGATCATCAACATGTTTGTTAAATCTTTACATTTTATTTGATATTCAAATGATTTTCAATCAACAAGTCCATCTTACTTTACATATAGTTATTGTTGCTGTTGCTTTCAATCAATTAACTTTATCGAATGGCCTGTAAAAAAGTTGCGCTTAATATCTGACGCACTTGATGCTATAAAAACTATACATACATATAATTCATATTCTTGCTGTTTTTGTTTACCATGGCTTAAAAGTTGTTATCAATAAACAATACATAAACATACATCTTTTGATTTTCAGCACAATGAAATTAGTATAATATTTTGGTAGTCTGTGTGTGTGTACGCAGATTAATAATTATTTTTTGGTTAGTTACAAGTCTTAATCGCTTTATAAATTGGAAATGCCTGATTGTGGTTGTTAGTTACTTTTGTATTAACAAAAAAAATTAACTGCGGCTCAAGACAGCTGCTGCTTTTGTTCACTGGGGCCAAATGTTTACTAAATTATGCGTAATTTTGCCTAAATACTATATGAAAATTAATAAATGTAGGGAATACTATTGCTTTGCTGCTGTCGCTTTTTTGGCCGCATAAACATTATGGCTATATAAAAATTGATGCAGTTGGAGATTCCGTTGGCATTTACAAATGCACTTTTAGAGATTCCATGCGGGTCACAATGCGACGGCGCAGTTCAGCGTATCTGAAAAAAGAAACAGTATATCTTACAGTTTATCTGCATATATATTTATATATATCTAATTGATCCGGACTAGATGCAAGTTGGGTCTGCCCAAGGTGTATGGCCGTTAGTTCAAGATTCGACAAAATCTATTTTTAAACTCTACACAAAAACTTTTAAGGTTGCATGGGCGAAAGTTAAATATATGTCCGATCGGCTTTATTCATTTTCAAAGCTGCTCATTATTAAAATTTGAAAGCAAGCTGAAACCTATTTTGGTAAGTATACCCCACGGGTGAAAAAACTGTTTACTAGAACTTTTCAGTTCTATGAAAAGCATTTTAAACTAGATTCGGCGATTGCAGAAAACCAGCTCTGCTGAGTGGTATTGCTGCTCAAGGTATAAAATTTAAATGTGTGTATAGGTGATACATAAAATTTTAATGAAAAACTTGACAAAGCCACGACATATCTGCTTGGAATGAATAAATTAATATAACTTGTGCTTACCTCTCTTTAACTTTGACAACTTCGCGCGCCAGTTCCTGATCATATTGATCCAAAATGGCGCGACACTCAGGCAGCGATAGATTTAAAAATTGAGCAACTTCATTACTGAAAACATAGGTGCAACAGGTTTGTATAAATATATGACATGATTCGCTTTCTGGGCTACTCACCTGATTTCATCAGTTTTACGCGCATCCACCAGGAAGAGGCGCGCAACATCCTCGTGCGGTCCCAGCGTAATGCGCGTTATCAACGGATATTCATTGTCCTTGAGGCGCTTCTGTTCACCGTTGTCGCGCACGATGAACAGCGAGAAATTCTCCGCTGCGCTATCCACCTTATACTTTTCTAGCACCAAATTAATGACCTCCTGCGTGGTCAATAGCGATGAGACCCACACAGACATTTGAGAGCCATATGGGGGCGTAAAAAACGATGTTTCCCGATTGTAAAAGTGCCCATTTATTGAACAGCGACGTTTCAGCTTGGTCCGGGATCTGTAAATAATAATTACAATTTAACGATGCGCTGCATCAGCTTTTGAATTCCTTAACTGACCGCCGATTGCCACTGCGTCGCTTGATTGCTGCAGCTCCAGTGCGCGGCGGTCTTCTCAAGACAACGCCATCTTCATTCACATGCAAGCCCGCCTCATTGGCAGCCGTTTCGGTGCCATCCGCCGCATCTCTGCCTGCGGTGGCCGTATAAAGCTCATCCGTTTGGGTTAGCTCGTCGCCAGCCACAGCACCGCTTAACACCTAAGCAAATGTTGAGAGAATTATTAAGTTAGATAACGATATGCTTGGGAAAAGTACATTCTCTAATCAACTTAAATAAACTTACGTGCCTAACGTTACTTTAGTTTTATTATATTATGAGCATATATAGGTATGCACATTATTTTATACACAGATACAATTAGCAATCAGCAAACATCACAATCTACAGGACATATTTTGCTCTGCGACTGCTAATTCGGATCGCAGAAAATTATTTGAATAAAACAAAAACAATCAAATAAATAGATCTTAAGTATGCCGAACATTAGAATACCCTTGCAGACACACGGCAATGCGTGCTAATTAACAAATTATTGCCCAATATACACTTAATTATTTTCTAATAAGAACTCGGCTTTCGCCTCTAGCTGCAAGAAACTCTTAATATGCCTAAAGGTATATTGAGGGATCTAGTTTTAATTTATAAAAAAAACAGACAAGCCCGCCTGCGGTGAACAAATCGACAGACGGATGTTGATTGCATGTTGATACTAATAAAGAATACATATTATGGGTTCTGCTACTACATTGTGCGGCAGTTATATAACCATTTGCAAGAGTATACCAAAAGAGATACTCGGTCTAATAAGTACGGCAAAAACTTTACAATAATATAAATGCAAAAATAGGCTGAGCACAACCGAAAGACCTGCTTACTCTCTCCCATCAAATAATCTTTATCGATATTGCATTCCGAATCTCTCATCTGCGATCAGGTCTTATAAGGTAATTTCGTTCATTCAATAAATTAAAGTTGAACATTACCGATGAGGCGTCGGCGCGGCTCGACTCGTTCTCACTGCCACCAGCACCGGCATTGGCAGCGCCCCTTCCACCTTCTTTGGGATAGCAATTCATTTGAATTTGGATATAACGCCGAGGCACATCGCTGCGCCGGACTGTGGCCAAACGATGCGGACGCAGCGTCGCATCGTCGTCATCATCACTGTCGGAATAGACGAAACAGCTGGGACCCGACTTGGACCGATTGATGCCCTTTTCGAAGAGCTGTCTTCCCTGCTCATACGGCTTATGCTGCTCTCGGCTGGGCGCTGTGGAGGCAAAAGCAGAGCCACTCTTCTGCAAAGCGTACTGACGCTGCGATGAACGGCTGGAGTCAACGCTACTGCGCAAGTGCATGGTGTCATTAATCAGAGTGGGATCAATGGAGCGCAACGCGTGCTCACAGTTAAAGCTCTTGCTCATAGCCGAATTCTCTCCGTAAAACTTCAGGGAGTCGTTTATGCGAGAGGGATCGATAGGCTGATTACGTTTCAGGGTATCATCATTTGGCTCCTGAAACGAGTTTGCACCATTTACATAATCCTGATGAACGCTGCGCTTGAAATCCTCGAAATCCATGGGCTTCAGCGTCGCATCCTCAGACGTCTTGTAGTCCTCCAATGTGGTGTTGCTGGTGCTCACAGTGGTAGTATTTTGTGTATTGGTGTTCGTAGTCAGGGAGCCAGTGGCAGTCATAAAGTTATCTGAGCTACTGCTTGTTGTTGTATTGGTAGTCGTTGTGGGTGAAGAGGCAGAGTTTATTTGATTATTTTGCGTGTTTGTAGAAGATGTGCTATCCGTGCAGGATTTGCTTGGCGAACTCTCGCTGGACGATTGCGACGAAGAAGAGGGCAACTTGACGGGCATCGTTCCATAGATCTTATCCTTTTCGCTGTGACGCCGCTCCACTTGCAGCAAGTCGTCAATATCATCCCATTCTAATTTCTCCAGATTATCCAATTTAGAGGGCAACGTACTTGACACGCAGCTGGTGCTTGCCGTGATTGCCTCTGTGCCGCTGCCAATTAGTGTACTCGAAGAATCCGTACTTGTTATATCCTCGTCATCATTGTGGGCATTCGGCTGCCCATTTACCAGCTGTCCACTGCCTGTCGTATTCGCGGATGCATCTTCAGGTGTTGTCGGCAGCTCGGATATCTCATTGAGACTGCATGAGTCGAAGGTCATGCTTTCCGACAGTGAAATGTCCGTGGAAAGTGGATCCATCTCGCTAGCCGTGGTCGTGGGAGGTGCCACCGAGTCGCTAGCTTCGTTCTCCTTGTCAGAACAGCTTTCCTGTTTGCCAAAGAAAAGTATTAAAAAAAACGATAAAAACGTTTTCAACAATTGGCTAATTCAAACGTACATCCGCTGCCTTGGACGTACGGCAGGAGTTGCGCTTGCGCACTATAAACGTGCGCTGATCATCGTCCTCCTTCAGATGAATGACGCCTTGCACGCCCCAAAAGACACGCAAAGGGCCTTCCAAGACCAAACGGTTATTCACTTCACGACTGCGTATCTCGAGGCTTTTATTGTCATAAAACTGATTGTAAACCTGCAATTCGTCAACTTTGCTAGTTAAGATTCTATGTTTAAGTTTATAAACATGCGTCAGACCTTCAGCTTAGACTCCAAGTGGTCGCGTGGCAGTGCTGGTCCATTAGCCTGAGCGGCGACTGGTTTCTGCGCGCCTTTTACTCCATAACTCTTGTGTGACTCAACGCGCGTGCCGTGACCAAAAAGCTGCGGTCCGAACAGCGCACCATAGCAGGGCACATGACAATAAGGCACTCCTTTATGCTATTATAAAAGGTGGAAGCGAAATGCATGTGAATAATTGCATATTGAAGCAAATGCTGGCTTTAATTAAATACCTCTGCATGCTGGCCGGGATTAAGTCGCTTGCCGCACTCCTCGCAACGCAAACATTCCGGATGCCAATCGTAGCCTAGTGATTGTTTACGTTCCGCTGTGTTGAATCGAAATATGTAATTTGAATGTTTGTTATTTAAACAAATGGCATGCACATCACGAATTTATGATTGTATTTATTTATATGTGTGTGTGTGTGTTTATAAGCACATGCATATGTGGGTGTTTAAATTACCAAAGTAAACGGGTTTGCCGCACTTGTGGCACTTCCACATTCCGCTGCGCTGTGCCAATTGGTCACTTGGTCGGTCGATCGTTCGGTTGATCAGGTCAACGTTTCCTGGCGGGGTGTGTTTGCCGCGTTGTGACGTCAGGGAGATTATTGCAGGTTGATATGAACACGGAACGCAAACACGTAGAACAAGAACAGAAGACAAAGGGTAAACAAATGAAAAGCACAAGACGACGACTGCGGCGACGACGACGACGACTTTCAACAACGATTCAGCGCTTCACTTCCATAGTTTCATACAAGAAATTAGCACTTGGCACTTTCAAATGGTATGCAAAACTTTTGTGCATTGATAATAACTGTGTTTTTATAGAAAAATTAGATTACACAAAAACAGCACCAGGCGAAAGAAGCAGAAGAACCAAAGGCAGTGCAAGTGCTGCATAGCGCTTAAGCGCCACTCAATTGTTTCACAACACTGTCCATGCGTTTTGCCCAAAATTAGCACGTTATTGAGCGCGAGTAGAAAGTGAGACGACGACGTTTTGTTGTGTGCGTCGCTTTGTGGCAAATTTTGGTAAATTATCTTTAAATACGCCAGCAGTCAATTAATTAGTGGCTCAGCTTACATGTGTGGCTGCGGCCTGAAAAAAATGTGCGCGTGTCATTGCAACTCAGCTGCCAGCATCTAGGCACTGCATCGCTTAAATCAGCAGAATCAATTTTTGTGCCAGAAGCAACAGCTGAAAGAAGCCAAAAATTTCGTTAAGCGATTTGTGTAAATAGCCAACAGTGCAAATACTGCAGGTCAAGTACACCAAAATACAGCGTACGTCGCGTGTGTGTGCTTAACAATGCGCGCCACAATTGAATTTGAGGAATGCCTGAAGGATTCGCCGAGATTCAGGTGCGTATTGAGCCTTCGCTTCCTCCCTCAGTCACAAAACAAAGCCCCCCCTTTTCCATCAACACACACTGCGCATTATATTTCCGCATTTGGCATTTGGTATTTGCATTTAGGCTCCATGGCAGTAGCTTTTTTCTGGCGTGACTGGTTCCGCATGGATTTCGTGCTATCAACAGCTTTCGTTGGCTCAGACGCCTTCCCCTATCCCCCCGCAACGCCATCTAACGCGGCTCAAATATTGCTGCCGCTTAATCATCATCGAAAAAACTTTGCACTTGACTTGAACATCGTCAGTGTTTTGGAATTTATCATTCATGCACAGCATGATGTGAAACACACACACACACACACATGTGTGTGTTTGTGCCTATATATGTGTGTGTGAAGTTTGTATTTGTTGTTACTAATTGCTCTGCAAAGCGATTGAACGTTTTTCGGCGCTGATTGATAAGATTTCTCCCAGGCAAGACAGACATGCCATGGTTAATCTCGCCCAAAGACAAAAGCTTTCGCTTGTTGCGATAGACATTTTTTTAATTGCCAGCCCAGCTTAGCTATTTCGATAGCTTTCACATGGGGCGAAGCCACGCGACAGGTTACAAACATTTGTGACTAAGACTGTAAAAACCAAGCAAACTATAGCAAGGGATAATAAGTTTTATTCTTTCAATTTGCACATTAAACACAAACAATATGCTAAGTTTGCTATATCTTTCACGTCTGCAGTTCTTGCAATTGGCTTTAAAGCGCGCCTTTAATTAAACGCACAAACAGCACTTTAATAAAGTGGCATAAATTAAAAGAGTCAACATAAATAAACAGCAAGAGTAGCAACTACGTCGTAGCTGCCATTGCCTGCAGGCCCGTAAACCCTCTCCCCGATGAAAATTCCCCTGATTGAGCACACACTGGGCAACGTTAATCACTTGCGACAGCGACTCCGTGCTTCTTCAGCATCGCCACTTGCCTCGTTGTTTACATCGATCAAACAACAACAGCTGGGTCCAAAAGATTTTGCTAACGTATTTAATTTGCTTTGGCACAGACAATTTATATCCAAAGAGGAGACGGATATTGAGCATTTGGAGCAGAGGCTGGAGAAAATCATCAAGCTGTGCAATGTGGCCGTCGACTCGGGCAAGGAATATGTCAAGAACCAGAGGTAAACTGCGCACTTTTTATTCTTCAATTATGTTCTTATCTTATGCACATTTTACTGCTTGCTTGTTTATGACTTTTAGCGCATTTGCCATGTCCTTGTGGGATCTACAGCAGCATTTTCTCGACAATAAAAATGCGCACAATGCGCTCGGCAAGCTGATTCATTGCTTCCAGGTGCGTCATCCAGGCAGGCAACTACATAATGAATTTATATATTAAAGTGTCCTTTCTTTTTTATAGGAAATGAACAAGTTTCATACAATATTATTGGATCAGGCCAGTCGAACGGTGTTAAAAAATCTCAGCGTATTCGTCAAAGACGACATTAACCAGGTCAAGGACTATAAAGGACACTTCTTAAAGGTCTCCGAGGGCTACGACAATGCGCTCATTAAGAACGCACAGGTGCGTACTGTAGAAATATTTTAAATTGTTGTCCACGATAAGAACATCTCTCCTTACATCAACAGGCGAGCAAAAATCGACCACAGGAAGTCCAGGAGGCTGCAAATATTCTGTCCGCCTCCAAGTCTTGCTTCCAGCACACCGCTCTGGACTATGTCAACTATATAACGCTAGCTCAGGCGCGCAAGGTACCTTCTATACTCTCTACGGTAAGTTCCGAAAATCTCTTTAATTACCTGCATCTGGAGATATATTTATTTTTTGTAGTAATTGGTACATCAAAATTGTTAATTAGTCTCAACAGGCTTGCTGTTGAAAAGCATTATGAGTTTAATAAAAATCTGCCTTTTATTAGCATCTAAGCGATAGTGAGAGGTAGAGTGTTAGAGCTCGGTTTTTTTTTCCACAACATGAAATTTTAAATATTTCAAGTTATGGTTACAGATTTGAATATATTTTTAATAAGTGAGAGTGGAGTCAGTCTTCAAAAGATAATAGTAAAAAGCATTTAATGATCAGGTCCAATACATTTTTTTTAAATACAAATGGAAACCTTTAGAGTAGGTATATAAGAAATTAGACATGCTAAGAGATACTCAGATTTAAAGTACCAAGCTTTCCATTATAAATTCGTATAATAAAATTAAAATTTGTTTAAAGTTAATTTTGTGAAATTTTTATCATGACTCAAGTGGTCATGATAAAACCACAATATTTTCTATTAGGGTATATAAATACAATACAGACTTTCAGTTTCAACACCTGATAATAACCTAAAAAATAATTGATAACAGACAAATTGTTCTGAGAAACAATCGTTTTGTGTTGAATATTAACTGCATTCATATGTGAGTGTATGATGACCAGGCTAACGAGTTTGGGATATCGTTTTCTTTAGCTGCAAAGTTCTTGGCAATTCCCAGAAAAGGCTTAACTAGAAAACTATTCAGATAGGACTAATAATCCAGACTGGAATAAACAAAGTAATGCATACTTATACTTATTTGCAATAGATTTGCAAAAGATAAAGTTAATATTTGGCAAAATAAGTAGAGCTTGATATTATTTATAGTTCTTATCGACATTGTGGTCAGGCGATATGGGTACTGTGAATGAAAACTCATTGTCTTTAACGTAAATAAATAAAATCAACAAGAATTGTTGTGCTTATGACGTAATTGTAGCGATACACTCTTAATGGATATGTATGTAGTGTGCTTTTCTGATATCGCTGGCCCATTGATCAGCGTTGAGTCAGTTGGCACCGGGCAGCATTTTTAGTTGGCTGTGAACTGCCCTCGTTGCAGGTTCGTTGAACGTCTCCAATATGGGGCAATATGTATTCATATTATTTATAAATAAAAGCAATTGTGGACGTGTTTTTATGGTGATCGTTGTGTATTCTCTTCGACAGTTGCTGGACTATTATCAGGCGTGCGTGACCTATTACCATCAGGGCTTTGATTTGTGCAACGACTTTGACGAGTTCTTCAAGAATATCAGCGAGGATTTGAACGCTCTGCGCGGTGATTATCAGCAGCTGGAAAAGGTCATGCAGAATCGACACATGAGCGTGAATCGTTATTGCGATACCAATACGAACAGCGCCTCGCACAATGTCGAGGGGTATCTGTTCAAGAAAAAGTCAAAGGGTTTCAAGACCTGGTGTAGACGTTGGTTCTACCTCAGTGATAATCAGCTGGTCTACAGGTGGGTGAAAAATCTATAGTTTCTTTCTTGCACATTTCTTTTGATTTTTCCCATTCGTTTTGCTTGCCGGTTAAATCGTCATTTGTTTGCCATTTTGTACTCGTATTCTGATTTCTGTTGTTGTGTTGTTGTTGTGATTGTGATTTGTTGTGCCGTACGCTGAAGTGATTTGGATTCGCATTCCAGAAAACGCAGCAACGAGGACTCGTTTTCGGTCATGGAGGAGGATTTGCGCATATGTACCGTGCGACCGGTCAACGAAGGCGATCGACGCTTCTGCTTTGAGGTGATATCGCCAACCAAGTGAGTAATCCTATCCAGCCCTAATTACATTACACAATTAAGTGGATTATCTCCAAAATAGGTCACACACACTCCAAGCGGACTCGGCGGACATGCTCTCGCTGTGGATCTCCGCGCTGCAGCACAGCATTGGCGCGGCCATACAACACGCCTCCACGCATCACTCACGACCACAGTCGACAAATGCTCCGAATGCGCTGCCCGCCAAGCGACGAATGTAAGTGTGAAGAAATCCATATATATTTGTTTACATAGATAACAATACCAGAATGAATCATGTTTAGTCACTGGGAGGAGTTTCTCAAAATACCAGGCAATGCGCAGTGCTGCGACTGTCGCGGATCAGATCCCCGCTGGGCTTCCATCAATTTGGGCATAACGCTGTGCATCGAGTGCTCAGGTGTGCATCGCAGCCTGGGCGTGCACTACAGCAAGGTGCGCTCCCTGACGCTAGACGCTTGGGAGACGGAGAATGTCAAGGTAATGATGGAGCTTGGAAACGAGGTCGTGAATCGTATCTACGAGGCGCGAGTCGGCGAAGACTGTGAGCTTAGGAAACCCTCAGAGCAATGTGAGATTGGAGTGCGCGAAGCCTGGATCAAGGCCAAATATGTGGAGCGGCGTTTTGTCTGCGGCATGCCCAAGCCCCAGGATCTACTGTCGAGTGAAACGGCCGAAGTGCTGAGCATAGAAAGCGGCGAAACAGCAGAAGATGGCGGTGAAGTTGGTGGTAGGTCCGGCGGCGGTGGACTTCTTGGCAAGCGTGCGACACTCTCGCTGGGCGGTACACGCAAGTGGGCAGTGAAAAAGTTGAGGCGGCGTCGCCAGCAGAGACCGTTGCCCAAGACCCTCAGCGATGATCCGAGTATATATAACACGGCTAAAACTGGTGACGAATTGGACGATGATGATGATGATGAGTCGATAAACATTCCCTCAATGTCGCTGAGCATATCGCGCGATGATTTACTAGTAATTGGTGATGATTTGGCTTTGGACCGCTATGAAACTCCCGGTATCTTGGGCAGCGATCAGGAGAGTACTGAAGGCGAATCTGACGCTGAGATGCCAGAAGAAGTACCCTTCACGCAGTTAGATGCCAATCTGTTGCTTTACAAAGCAGCTGTTGTGCATAATCTACCTGTTATGTGCATGGCCTTTGCTCTAGGCGCCGACAAGAACTGGAAGAATGTACAGGACCGTCAGCGTTCCTTTCTGCATCAGGCAGTGCTCTCTGGGTCGGTAATGGCTTGTGAATATTTGCTTCTGAATGGGGCTGCGATTGATGCAGTCGATGAGCTTGGCTACAGCGCACTACATATATCCACGGCCAAAGGACACATTGCACAGGTGTATTTACTGCTAAAACACAAGGCTGCTTATGATCTGGCCTCCAGTGATGGCAAAAAGGCTCTGGATATTGCCGTTGAGCAGAAGAATGCAGACATCGTGACGCTGTGAGTTGAAAGCTTTCTTACACTGAATGTGGACCCCTAACTAGAGTATATTTTTTTTACCTCTTTTTAGTCTACGCCTAACGCGCCTCAACGACGAGATCGGTCTGAGCGATGAGTATAATGGCGAGGATGAGACCTATAAGGATGTGATGAAGGACTTTTCCAACTTTGCTGCCAGTCAGCCACGTATGTTGCGCCAGCGCAACGACTCCAATACGCTGGAATCGCAACGCAGCTCGCTAACCAACTCAGACTAACAGTGGCAGTAGGCCTCTCGGCCATGTTGACAACTTACTCGTTACAATAGATATTCCAATGTTTAGCTAGCTTGGGTGCCAATCGCTTGTTCTTAATCGCTATGCTAAATTATTAAACGGTTCATTTCGGTGCTGGCATTTTAAAAAGAGCCGCCAACTCGAAACTGTTTTACTAGGCAATCTCATTTAAAGGCGCTCTTGATATTAATCGCATTGCATTGCATTTGATTTTCGTATTGGTTTAAAGTTTTGTTGACGTTTAATTTATAAGCTTAGGCCTATAGTTAAGTGCAAATGGCTCGTAATACATATTTATATAAATGTTTATTGTTTACAATGTTTAAATATGTATGTATGTACATGTTTTTGCCTAAAGCGTATTGTACATTCTGTTATGTGAATTATATATTATAACTGTGTGTATACTAAATCTATGTAGCTAGCTATCTTATATTATACCGTATCGTGTTGAAACTGTTTCGGATGTTTCCAATTCGTATTTGTTAGTAATAAGATTTTGCGTGTGCTAAATTGTTTTTTTTTTTTGCATGTCTTCTTCGACTGTTTCAAACCAATAAAGAAAATGTTCTTGTTTAGTGCCAAAAATAATTGTGAGCACTTAAAAAATATCGAATAAAATTGCAAAACGTTTTTTAAAAATATTTGGATTATGCTAAAAAGATTTTCGAACTGTTAAAATTTGTAATACAATTAGATGCTCCTTTGCCCAAATAATAAGGAACTTGAACACACTTATTCAAATTCCGTATCATTTCCATTGTTATCCGTTGCAGAGTCCGCACCCGTATCCTTGACCTTGTGTACATTCTGCACGTGTCGCTGCACAGCGCTGCGGTCGTTAAACTGACGTCCACACTCCTTGCAGGCAAACGTGACGCCTGCGTGGGCGACAAGATGACGGCTCAGACCCGACACGTGATTAAAACTACGCTTACAGAGGTGACACTTGTGCTGACGCTCACCTTCCATATGCATGCGGTTAATGTGCTGTTGCAGATTAGTCTTTTGGGCAAAGCAAGTGTCACAGTGTGGACATTGGTGGCGTTTCGCACCCGTGTGCGTATCCATGTGACGCTTAAGGACTTCGCGCTGCGAAAACGACAATTCGCACTCATCGCATTTATACGGCTTCAGCCCCGTATGGATGATCATGTGACGCTTTAGCGAACTGGCGCAGGACAGCTGCAGTTGGCAAACGGGACACTTGAGCGCCCCGCCGGTTCCATTCTTCAGCGTTTTGATGTGCGTGCTGAGATGTCGCGACAGCGTTTTCTCAGTAGCAAACGCAATCGGGCACAGCTGGCACTGAAACGTTTTCAGCGTATCGCTGGCACGTCCAACCGTCGGCTTGGTGCTGCTGCGCGGAGTTCGCTTCACCACAAAATCGTTTTTTGTACCTTTGACGGGTGTCACTATTTGGCTGTTTCCCTTTTCTTCTGACTGCAAGCGATACAAAATCGATTAGATTAGATGCGAGCTACTCCTTGTGGCTGCTTACCAATATGATGACATTGTCGTTAAACTCATACACCTGCTGATCGTCGCCTTCCTCATCATCAAGATTAAACACCATCACATCACCAATATCTTCAGACTTGGAGTCGGTAAACTGAATTTCTCCATTGTCCTTAACTGCAAATGGAAATCAAAAGCGAGTGGTTACAGGATATCCGAATTACTAGAATAACCAAATGCTCACTATTGTACGATGTGATGTTCTTCTCCTGCTGAAATTCTATTGAGGAACCTGGCGTAGAGTTTGCCGATGAGGCAGCATTTATGATATAGATTTCTCCATTTTGGCTCGTCACCACGTCGCCAGCGCCGACCATCTTTATATCACGAAAACTCTCCATGGTATCTGGCGCAGATGTGTCTATCTCCGCGTCATCCGCGGATACTGTCTCTGCTTTGGAGTCACTCTCCATCGTATATACAGCACCTTCAGAGTCCGAGGCTTTTGGTCGACGCTTTGGCTGAACTGTGGGCGACGAGATGCGACCGCGTTTCCGAGTTACACGCTGCTCGATTGTTGGCTTGGGCGCTGGTATAGGTGTTGGTGCTAGTGCTGTTGTTGACTCTGGGGTGGATGTGGTTTTCAACTTTGGGTCAACTGGCAGCTCACCCAGAGTCTCCCAGAGACCGGCTTTCTTTTCAACCAAGAAAACTTCAAGTTCACCCACAAGCTTTGCTAGCTGTTCCCTGCGGCTTTCCTCTTGCACTTCGTCATGTAGTTGCTGACGCACATCACTTCGCACTTCCTCCATCAGTTGTTTGCGCAATTCCCCACATAGCTCAGTGCGCGCGGAATCCAGGCGGCACTCAAAATCTTTTTTAATTTCTTCCTTGTACTTTTCCCGCCATTTTTGTGAGTTTTTTTCATGCAGCATCTCCAGTTTTTCTATAAATTCCATGGATTCCACGAATTCTAGCTCATCCTCATCCGAGTCATTATCCAACGACTTGGCAAAGACGCGGCTCTTTTTACCCATGCTCACAAGGCGAATATGTTTCCGCAGCTTTTTATCAGCCGCTTGACTTCGCTGGCGGAAAAGAAATGACTTCTCCAGCTGGTATCGACAATCGCCGCAAATTTTCTTCGGCAAGCCATCAGTTGCCTTCGCCTCCAGTGAGAGGCAGGCCATCAAGCGCATCGGTATCGACAACTCCTTGTCGTCCTCGGCAAAGATTGTGTGCGCATCCTTGAGCTCCCTTAGGCACAGGCGACACCACGTCTCTAGATCTGGATAAAATTCATCCGTGGCCGACATCACGAATCTTGTAATTCCGATTTTGTATTGCACGCAACAACAGACGCCAAAGGTACAAAGTGGGCTAAATGTTCTAACCAACACTAACAGCTAAACATAACGCTGTGGGCACCCTGAAACTTAACATTTGCAGCAATGTTATTAAAAGCACGCATTAATTTCTTTTGGATCTACTGCTGTTGTGCTAATGTTAAATTACATTTTTGACGAAGAGCAGTGAAAATCGACCTAATAAGAAACGTTTCTTTAACTGAGACTACAGCTACCATTTAATTGATTTGCTCTTATATTAAACTATCAATTTTTTTAGTTCGATTCTATCTAATTTTTCTTAAAATTCTGTATTAGTGTTCGTGACTCTTACGCACGAACATTTATTGTGGTGCAGTGTTGAAAGCGAGAATTAGTGCTTAAAAACGCCAAAAATCCGTATTTGGCGCGCAAAATTGTTTATTAAAAAAAAAATGTATAGTATACTATATAAATAGCTTATAGTAAGATATTGAACAATACGAACACTTGTTATATAAAATGGTGTACACGATTAAAATAGTTATTTTTAACATGCTTTTTTTTTACCCTGAGAGCCTCTCAGGCGGCAACGGTAACAGTTTCGGTCTTTGGAATTAAATGTGTTCCTCTGCTTCGCGCCTGATCCGTGTATTAGGCAAATGTGCTCCCTTAATCTCTCGTATGGAGAATTTCTTTTTAGAGGTTTTGCTGTAGTCGGTTTCGATTCGGAAGGTCGTTGTTTAGCTGGGGACGCTACAGTTTTCGTAGGTAGAAAATTGGCACAATTTAGATCCTCTCGCAAGTGACTGTACTGGGTATTTTGCATGTTAATTTCAACCATTGTTAATGGCACAACAGTTGCAGGTCTAGTAACTTTTTCCTTATTGGAAGATACTCCATCTGTTGTCTGATTTTGGTCAGGGGACTCATCATCTGAAATAATCGTTGCTGTATTTGAACTCTTTTCGATAATGCATTCAAATTTTTCGATATTACCAAGCACTTCGACTACACCCACTTCACTGGCATTCAAATTAGTGGACTCTGCGTGGATCGTGAGTTCGGCCTCGGAGTTGCTGGTATTTTGAACCGCTATAGTCGATATGCTTTCCAGCTCTGCAGTGTCCATGTCGGAGATAAATCCGTCGGAGCCAAGTGCCTGTGCCCGCACTACATTGTTGCGTTTGTGAACAAACCAAGTCTCAATATCGTAAAAGAGGTCATCCAACACGCTCAAATGACATTCCTTTCTAGCCTGCGCGAGGAGTAGGGGTTCCATTTCACTGCGCACTTGTTGCTCGATCTCCTCGCGCACTTGCTGCTTGCATAGGCCAAGCAAATCACTTTTGTAACTCTCCATTTCACAGCGGATAAGCTGTGCCGCCTCTTTGCGCCAATGCGCATTGCTCTCTGAGCACGCTGTGGAGGAGCATAGCGCTACATCCTTCAAAAGAAGTGCATCCTCTTTGTCGCCATCGAATAAATCACTGGTCTGGCAGTCGAAATTACGGTCCTGGCGAATTAATTGACGTAGGTGACGATCGGCGGCATGACATCGTTTGCGAAAATAATGAAATTCCTCCAGACGCACTCGGCATGTATGGCAAATGAGCTGCGGTAGCTTATCGTTGGGATCAACTTCGAGACCTGTGCAAGACATAATTCTCACTGCTGCTTGGCCATTAAATATGACGAAGTTGGCATCCTTCGCTAGACACAGACGGCAAACAGTCAACATTATTACTTTTAAATTGAATATAATTTAACTATATTAGTAAGTACTAGTACGAAAAAAAAAAAAAATTTGCGAAAGGACGCCTATTTACAATGTGACCAGAAGCGACATTTGCAAAAATACCATCAAGTTATTTAAAAAAAATACCAAAGTCGATTGAATTGAATTTATTTTGGAACTGAACCAGTTCTGTTTGAGTTTGATTTATTATTAAATTATATTTTCTGGCTTACTAAAACAACAATTACAAGCGGGTGTCTTTTTATACGATGCGACTACTTGTCTTGCGTATTATTTCAATTATTTTACATTAATTCATTTATTATGCTGACAACCTTTTGTTTTTCGTGTAAAAGGGTACAAAGGGTACAAGGTTTTTTTTCAACTCCACGTAACCTGCAAAAGGAGACTTTTCCGACATTATAGAGCATACATATATATTCTTGCTTCGAATCAGCACTTAAGTTGATCCATGTACGTTTGTATATCCGTATGTACGAACCTATAAAATCTGTATTCGAATCCCTTAAGAGCTAGAGAGACCAAATTTGGGCTCGTAGAGTCAGTATACCTAGATTTAGAATATATGTACATATATACTAACTCATATTTTCAGGCCCGGTTGAAGTTGTTTGCTTCTTACTTAAGACATCAATTTTCCACCCATTTCCCACAACCTTCGATCCGAATTTTCTATCCAAGAGGGATGGATATTGCGAAAGTTGTCTAACATTCCTCAAATGCATTATTACAAAGATCTTCTTAAGCCCGATTTAAGCCCGAACTACACTCACCAAGTCTTTAACTAACATTTTCTCATTGGAGGATTTGTTTGAATATAAAACACATCACAATTTAGAATTTGAATAAAGATCTTTGAAAACGCGTTTAAGTCCAATCGGATGGTAATTCAAGGCTTCTAGCTCTTACGGCTTGGTCTAAGGATATTCAATTTAAATAAAAACACATTCGCATTTATGAAACAATTTTGTTATAATTCATTAAATATTAAGTATAAATACGCAGTTAACTATCAAGTATATTATATACACAATTACAATAAAATATTCAGTCACTATAATGCTTCTATATACACAAAAGAAATACACATATCAATATATATATATATATATATTTATATATATATATATTTATATAAATTATATGATATATCCCATAGTTTGAACTCACTCCGCACTTCAATAAATATGCATTATTATTTTAAAATATACAACAGTCGTCATGATCGTCGCTTCAAGAATTGGTTGGGGCTTTAGGATATCTGCCAAGGATTGCCTACTTATAGCTAAATGTTCGTTTACAAAAAAAGTCAAAGATATTTTCAACAGCATTCTGCACTTTGCTTTCGTTCGTGATAAATAAATAGTATTGATCAGCATTAATCGTAATTAACATTGGAATACAATAATTTTTTAGGCATATACATACATAACTACAAAATATATTACAATTAGCGTTTATCGCGGCGGCCAAAGAATCTGACGTCTACGTCGGCATGTGGAACTGCATAAATGTATTAAATGGGTGGGGCTCCTGCTGCCGCTGCTGCTGCTCCTGGCTAATCGTGACGCCAGCTCTGCGGGAGCACATAGTCCTTGACCTTGTATAACGCATTGGCATACCAGTGCAGGCCGTTCTGTTGCTGCGCCGTGGCATCCTTTGGCGTCGACTTGTCCTGCGCCGTGCGCAGCTGGCCCTTGGCTGGCATCCAGGATTGCAGCGTGTACAACAGCCGCATGGGCGCCAAGCCCCAGTGCGCCAGCGATTGGCTGCTAATGACGGCGTAGCAGGAGGCGGCCACGGAGTTCACCACAATGGTGCCTTCGCGGGTCAGGGGCGCAACAACGCCGCGGCTGCGCACGCTGCTCACCCGGATTACACGATGTGGTCGCAGCTCGCCCGTGGCATCATGCACCAGCACATAGTTCAGCTCCTCGACCCGGTCCGCGAAGACAAAGTCGAGCGCCTGTCGCTCCGGCTGCCAGACCGTGATCAGATGCGCGGGCGTCACAGTCAGCACCGCACCGCTATCCGTGTGCAGCTGAACAAAGTTCTGCATCTGCTCCAGATTGCGGTCCATGAAGAGTATGACTTCGCTGTAGACGGCCTGACCCTTGCTGTTCATGCTCAGCACACGATCTCCAATGGCGAGCTCGCTCAAAGGTTTCTTTGCGCCGCTCTCCAGCAAGGCTGTGCTCTCGGGCGTGAAGCAGCCATGCACATGCGAAATGAAAGGCGAGGAATCTGCAATGGAAACAAGGAAAAAGGGTATTAGTTGTGGCCAACACAATAAGAGTGAAAAAAAGAGGAGGAGGAAATGCGGCCAGGTAATGGCATTAGTGCGCCTAATCTAATTTGGCGTTAATAATGCCGGCCCTGCAAACGTCCAATTGCCAAAACCCAACAAGTCAAAAAGGTTTTCACAGTTAGGGCTCGGCAACCGTAGCCGTAACCGTAACCGTAACCCGGCCCAGACCAGCCAAAACAATGGCAACTGCCTTTTGCGGCTTTCAAACAAAACCGCCGCCAACTGCACGAAGAACGCACAAAATGCGATCTGCCAACTGATAGCCGTGCATATCAATAACAAGCACAACAACAACAACAACAGAGTCAGCAGCAGGAGCAGCGGCATGGGAGGATGTTTTCTTTTCGAGTTTAACAAAATTGTGATCTTGTTTTTGCTTAAAGATTAGCCCTGGGATCAGCAATGCGGCTGAGCTCGAGCTCGAGCCAAAGCAGCTTAGCTACGCAGCCAGTCAGCCAACGAGCCAAGTGCCAAAGGATGATGTCCTGCTCAGGTAGCTGCAAGGACCTGCCTGCGACCTGTGCATAAATTCAATTACAAAACATGTTGCAACCCGCAGCAGCAGCAGCATTAATCATCATTAATGGCTATTGGGTTACTGGGCAGGAGCAGGGACAGGGACAGGGAGCAGCAATTGGGCCACCCGGCTGCTAGCTAGAATATGTCGGCCATTTTGTTTTGGCGTTTGTTCTAAATGGCCAGAAAGCGGCCAGAACTTTCTTTTCTGCAGCTCGTGCACATATTTCACACCCGAAGCGCCGCCCGCTCTCCGCAGTCGCTTGTAAAATTCAAATTAAAAATAAAAAAATATAAAAAATTCCATAACAACAAGGCGACCACTAACCGTGCGCTTTATTATAATGAGTGGCCATAAAAGTGGCATTGTTGTTGCGGTTGCCGCGCAACGAAATTCCAATGAAAATGCACCTACCATTTCCATTGATATTGATGCGTTTGGTAAGCACACACACACACACGCTCGGACCAGAGTGTAGAAACAATAAAAAGCGGAT